AGCTTAATCTGAGGACATGATTTCTCACACTATGCATACCAGACACTTCTTACTGTGATAATGCTACATTAAAAATCACCCAGAACTCAGTGTCTGAACACAACAAGCATTTTGTTTTTACTCATGGGTCACTGGGTCTGCTGCAGTTCAGTTAAGCTGGGCTGGACCCAGGCTCTGGACCCCAGACAGTAGACACCAGGCTTCAGGCTGTACGTCTCTCCATGCATGTCTCCTTCACCTTGGACTGATGGCTCTTTGGAGAATGTTCTCATGATTACTGGCAGGAGCATGAAAACAGATGCAGTGGAAGGAACTGGCACACTGTAGCATCTTCTCACATTCATTAACTAAAGCAACCATCAATGAGGCAGTGAACTCCATTCCACCTGTAGTGAGTAGGATTACAATTGCAAAAAGCAATTCTGTTAACAAGGAAAAAGTAGGGCCAGGCATAATGCAATCTAGCTCACTATAGTTTCTTTGGTACTCATTTTTAAGGACAGAAATTCCCTGTAATGGACTTTGAAAAAGGGGGCCTAAGACAGCAAGAATTTTGAACAGGATTTTAGGACAGTAAACTCACAGGATTTGTATATTAGAAGGTCATTCTGGGGTATGTGGAGAGTATGGATTGGAATGTGAGAGCAGACTGGTTACTAAGGAAAAATTATGAGATACCATGTGGAACATGCCAATGTACTGTGTGTCTGTGGGAATGGAGATTATGGGATAGATCATGGAGATCTTTAAGTAGTAAAATTGCATGGGTTTAGTACTTGAGTAGGTGGTGTGAGCAAAAGTAAAGGAGATATGGAGAACAGCACCAAGTTTATGGTAGGATGGTATAATTCACATCATTAATGTTATTCTTTAGATGATTATGTAAATTAAGTAAAATGAGCAATATAGAACATACTTCATTCATAATAATTTCCTAAGTGTTGACACATTATAAAGCATTTTCAGACACATTTCATTTTTAGGGCAATGTTATGTGTCCATATTGTTCAGTGTAAAGAAGTTACAGGAATATCTGAGAAATAAATGAGATAAATATAGACTTAAATCTATATTTACTGATTCAGAATCACCCACCATTATATAGACTAGAGTATTTTTGTTCAATTTGTAACATGAAAAAAATGACTTTGGTCCAATTGGCAATTAAATTTAAAATAAAATGAGGTATTTGAAAAGGTCTCATACATAATAATTATAATATCTACTCCCAGTAATTTTCTTCAAATTACATATTCTATTATTTTGTTGAGCCTTTCATTGTTTTCTTCATCTTATAGCAATTACATCATCTTACACAAATGAAGAAATCACAATAAACTTTATTCCCTTCTTTTCATTTATTTCTTTTTTTGTTCTCTTTTCCCTTCTTTCCTTCCCTTGATCTTTCCTCCTTTCTTCCTTCTCAGTCTTTCACGTCATCTTTCATTTCTTCCTTTTCAGTCTTTCATGTCATCTTTCATTATTTATGGCTTTCTTCCTATTTTGCAAATACAATATTATCTCTATGCCCCAACTATAGAGAAGACCCTATCTCAGTGCTAGACACTTCCCAAAAGTTCAATATACATTAGTGAACTAAAGAATATAGTCTACTCCATCCTTTCATTTTGCAGTGAGATAGAAAAACACTCCTTCTTTTTACTCATGTAAAGAGAGAATTATTTTCCGTCTACCACTCTCTCTCTCAATATACAGTCACCTCATGTCTTCATAGCTTTCTCTTTGTAGCTTCCTCTTGTCCCTTCTCTAAGACAGAATTGTGTCCAAAATACGTGCTCCAGCCAGCATTCACACATTCTTTATTTTATTCACCACAGTTGACTGGTCTAGGATGGCCATTTGACAAGCTATCAAGGATGGCTTGGGCTGTTTTTGGAAGGTGCCTAAGGTGGCTGAAGCCCCTTGGGCCTGTTGCTCCTTCTTTCTGCCTGGAACGTGCAACATGATGCCTGGAAGTGGAAAAGCCATCAAGCCACTGAGAGAATGAAAGCCACACATTATGGGACAAGGAACTAAGGCATGAAAAGAGCATAAGTGAGCTGCTCTTGGTCCATAATGGCCCTGCACTGCCTACTTCTAGACTTTTTATTGTTAGAGATAAATATACCCTTTGTGGGAAGCTTAGCATTACTAATACACAAGTGCTTAACTCTTACTCTTAGGTGATTTTCTTCTCAGATATCATTTTTTAAACTTTTCTCTTATCCATGTGTTTCCATAACATCTTGTCCTTTATGTGGAATCCTTTTGTTTATCCATCTTTATTGTTGTTAGTCTACAAGCCTTTGGAGCTCAAGGACTGTTACTCATGAGTACTCTTCTCCAGGGATTCTGGAATGTATGCACAATAGAATAGGGGCTGAGTAAAAGTTTTGAAAATTAAATTGAATTGAGATAAGTTGAATTGAGTTGAGTTGAATTGAATGTATTTAATTTTCCATGGCATGGGACAAAATAATCTACAGTCCTCCTTAACCAATTCATTTGCTGCAGTGATGTGCTGTCACACAAAACTCAAACCTGGAGAAAACTCATTCTGCCTCAACACCATGGAATAAACATATTTGCCAGCCCTACATCCATTCTTTTGGTTTCTATTCCTCCTCTTCACCATATTGATTTTACTTTGAGGGAAGCTGTTCTTGCCACTCTCTATTCCAGTTTCCACTTGCAGAAATGGCACATGATCCAGACCTTGCCATAGAGTATATTCCAACTATTTGGCCATGGTAAGGGTACGCAACCCAAGACAAGCCAAGAACATAATTCTGGAATTGTGTTTGCTATCTGGGAAAGAAAATGCTCTTTGTGCTGAGACTAATCATGGTAAAGACATAAATCTGGAAGTGCCAGGAATCCCAGTGTGGACATCACAGGTCTATGAATGAACTCAAAAGAGAAATAGGCAGAACCAAAAGATTGAAGGGAATGGGAGGGAGGAACCAAGTCCTGTGAGTGGGGGTATTTCAGTTCTTGGGTCTAGAAAATGATCTCTGAAATTAGACTGGCATTCATAAATATGAACTGTTTGTGACTTGGGAAAATTACTTAACCATTCTGTTTCCTTGTGTACAATATGAGGATGATTATAGCACTTCAGTTTAATCTTCACTTTGAAGTTTAAGTGAGATATCACAAGTAAAAACTTAAAACAGTGTCTGACACAGAGTATGATCAATAAATATTAGCCTTTGTTAATATAGATATTTTAATATATGGCATTTGAGTTATGTACAGCAGTAAGTTCTCTTTTTTTGTTTACACTGGTTTGAGCTGGGATTCTATCACTTTCAACCAAGTGGGTCTTGTCTAAAACAATTAATATAAAGCATAAAGCCCCAGAGTGTATAGGTTTATGGCAGGCCAAATTCCCTTCTGGGGACTGAGGCAGAGAAGGGGGATTGAACCAATTGACCCAAGACCATCTGGCTCTCCTTAGTTGATGTCTATCAGTAATTTTACCTCCAACCCCTAGTTTGGATAAGAGTTTCTTCATCACCATCTTATTCATATTCACAAATATCCTCCTTCTACACTTCCTGCTATGATGATTCCTTTTAAAAATATATAAAATACAAAAAGTGTGAAATCAAACATGAGAGTGATAAAATAAAATAAAAATATTCTATAATTAAGATATATTTTCTATTTCTTTTTATTTCTTAAATCTTAAGCTGGAAACTTTTTCCATACTGGTTTAGGGTAAATAATATCATAAGTAAGCAGCCTACATGCTAAATAGCATAATTTTTTTAGTGTCGATTACTGGAGGGATATGCAGGGATTTGCATGCTTAATTCCCATTAGCACCTGTCACTGGGATTTATTATCCCAGAGTTAATTCTCCACTCACTGCAGCCAAGAAAAAGAAAGCCCTGGTACATGGATTAAAATTAAGCTTTAAAAATTTTTTTTCCAGAGCAAGATAAATTTCATGTCTGTACCTTAAGCACCTACAGCTTTCCAACCCTGAAAAATTAATAATTAAATTCATTTTTGGTAAACATTTACCCAAATTTTGATTTTATTCAACAACTAGAAAAACATATTCATAATTTAAAAGTTTGTCTGGGGGGTGGTGGTAAAATAACTCTTATTAAATGATTTAAATCAGTTTTTCAATCTATTGGCTTTCATTCTTCTACTTGAATAAATATTGAATAAATGTTTATTGACCATCTATTATGTGCCAGGCAGTTTTCTAGGTTCTGGGGATAGAGTAGTGAAATGACTAGGAAAAAATCCCTCTCCTTGAGAAGCATACTATGGGAGAGTACATACATATTCATAGACACATGTTTACACATATGTCTGCCTACAGCTATATGTAGGTGTGTTGGATGGAAAATCAGACCAGATGAATACAATTGAGCAAGGGAGGTGAGTGCTATTTAAGGTAGTTGATCAGAGAAGGTCTCTTTAAGCAATTTAACCCAGATCTAAGTGAAGCTAGTTAGCAATTCTACACTCAGAAGTCTAAGCAACACTGCGTTATATCTTTCATGAAGAAGAGAAAAAAGGAAAAAGAAATCACGGGAGGATGTGTCAAGGAAAGTTTTATGAGTGACCATTGATTATAGGAAACTCAACTGCTTGGCAAAGCTGATCTATTGTATTTGCTGGTCCTTTTCCTGTCCTAGTCCTGGTGCTGTCACCCTCCCCCTCCCTTTTCCACTTCATCTCTATTGACCATTCTCTGGCCCCCTTGCAGCTGAGTGTCACTGTTGAACTACTTCTCCTCTTCTTCTCTTTTACTTTTCTTTTAAAGGATTATTTTCATGCAGTATCTTTCATTGAGCACTTCAATGCCCCAAACAGGATTATTGACAATTTAATTTTGTTTAACTAACTAGACTTTGAGGGTTCTTTCCTATTGAGCCTTTTTGACATTTTATCAACTGATATTAATTGAACACCAACTATATACTGGGCTCTATGTTAGGATCTGGGGATGAAATTATGAGCAAGACAAGATCTCGGCCTTAAAAACAGTTTAATTCTAATTAGGAGAGATAGGCATTTGAATTGTAAGCAAACAATCAAACAACTTTTAGATAGTGTTAATATGATAGTGATAAATGTGGGGGTTTCTTCCTTACTACTGCTGTCCTTGGAAAAACTGTAAAGACAAATATGGAATATAATTATAATCCTCTCTGGTGATGTCATCCTCAAAATTAATGACAGGTTATGAGTGGCCTAAATGCACTGCCCACCATGGTGGTCACTAGCCATGTGGCTACTTAAATTAAAATTAATTGCATAAAATTAAAATTCCCAACCACACTAGTCATACAGCAAGTGCTCAGTAGCCACGTGTGTCAAGTGACTACCATTTTGGAGAGCACAGATATGAACATATTCATCATTGCTGCATGCAGCTGATGGGAATCTTTGTCGATGGTGAGAACAGCAGCTAACCATTTTATGTGTTAGACACTTAGCATACATTTAACTCATTTATCTCTTACAAAACCATATGGTAGTTATTGCTACCAGACTTACCTTACAGATTAGGAAACTGAGGTACTTAGCTTTATTGTTCAATAGCTGTCAATTAGGAACAAGATATGCTAAAAATTAACCCAGCCTGGTACTAGCAACTACACTCTTACCAAAATGTCATGATCCCTTGGTATGGGGAAGCTACAGAGAGTAAAGAGGTTTTAGCATAGAAATGGGAAATGGCTAGATCTGTCAATGTCTTCACAGAGGACGATCTGTTCAGATCTAGCAGACTCATCCAAGACATGTTTTATTGAGTTGAGGTTTAGATGGAGGTTGGCAGGCAGCATCCTGGAATATTAGAATTGAAAAGAACTATGAAGCCATCTCATAAAATACTTCACAGATGAAGAAACCGAGGCATGCAGTTTACCTGACTTGTCCAGAATGACAGAGCGAGTTATGAGCACAGCCAAGATTAGACAGAAAGCTTCCTTCCTCACTGTGTATTTACCCATTGCCTTCTTGGCACCCGAAGAGCTTAAGCTCTCCTGATACATTATTTATTATTAGCTTTAAAAAATGTGCTAATTTGGGGAAGTGGTTTTCTTCTTCCCAGAATGTTAGTTGTGCAAGTGTGTATTAACCTTTAGAAAAAAAGCAATCACTTTCCTTTTGTCTAGCCTTCCTTATTTTATCCACCCATCTTACATTCTTGCTTAGCTGCCCAGCCAATTCTTCCCTAGAAAAAGAAAAGGGGGGAGGTGGAGGGGTAAAAATTCATAGCAGTTTGAGTCCTTACCCACACCATTTAGAGTTTGGAAAACATGTCATGGGTTCCACCACCACTTTTAAGTGGGTCCCTACAAATCCTGTACATTGTTTCTGGGAGTTTCTCCCTTCATCAGTATCATCTCGCCAAGATGCAGGCAGATAAAGCTCTGGTAAAGCATTCGTTTTCCTGGAGCTTTTAGTTTCTATTCCACTACAGAGAGGTTATAGGCGCCTAGAGCAGAAAGCAGTCTAAGTGGAGCACACCATCCCCATATTGCAGCCGGTCTGGTCGGGGGCACTGCAAAAGCTTCCTGCCTTCTTCCCCGCCAAGCAGGACTTCAGCTCCAGCCGGAGCCCGGCTTCATCAATCTCCAGACTGGAAGTGGTAGACCGAGTCCAGGCCCCGGGAGGGAGTCTGGCTCAGGCTTTGCTGGCTCCGTGGCGAAACTGGCGGGCGGTGGGCCGGGCTCCATGAGACGCGGCTAAGTGGCTTGGGGCGCGCCGTTCTGCTCCCGGGGTCCGGCCTGGCGCCCCGCGGGGGGCAGGCGCGCTCCCGGTCTCCGTGGCCGCCTCTTCCCGCGGGTCTCTCCCGCCCCGGCTTCCGAGGGAAACCGACAGCCCGTCTCCACCTCCCGCACCCGGCGAGCATCCCCCCCGCAGCCCTAGCAGCTTACATAAGAAGGCCGGGCGCGCTCCCGCGCCGCTTACCCCCCAGCCGAGTTGGGCTGTGCCCTCCTTGCCTCCTCGGGAACATCTCGGAGCAGCCAGGCGCCCCGCACCGGGAGGTGACCCTCCCTGGCCTCACAGCCTGCAATCGGGTTGTCTCCGAGCGCCGTGAGAACGCTGAGATTGGAGAGCGGAGCGCCTCACTGCGCCCAACTCTCTCTCTCTCTCTCTCCAATCCCCCCTCCTCCCCGTTCTCTCTTCCTCCTCCCCCTTCCCCTCCCCTCGCCCGCCGGTGCCTGAGAGTGTTGGGCGCGGGCGAGGGGACCGAGAGAGCAGTCAGTCGGGGCTGAGCGCGCGGAGGAGCTGCGGCTGCTGCTGGGGAGGAGCGCCCGCCGAGGAGCCGCCCCGCGTCTCCCCGACTTCCCGGAGGGGGCAGAGCAGCCGTTCGCTGAGCCTCCCGTTAGAAGGCGCCGGGCAAGAGGGTCCTCCCAACTCCTCCTCGGCGTCTCCGGCCACCCCCCTTGGCCCTTGCCCTTGGAGAAAGTGGAGTGCGCCGCTTGGTGATCATCATTTCTTCTCCGGACTGCTGCGCGGGGCACGGACCCGGCTGCTGCTGCCCCCGGAGGGGCTTTCCGCGGTTGTTTCGCGCGTCGGTCGGTGTGGCTCCCCCCTGCCCACCTCGGTCGACGATGAGGAGAAGTCTGCGGGCGACAGCGGCCCGCTGCGGACTGGGACTGGGATACGTGCTGCCCATGCTGGTGCTGCCTGCCCTGGCACTGCTCAGCGCCAGCGGCACGGGCTCGGCCGCCCAAGGTAAGGGGGTTCGCCGCGCTCCTAGGCCACCTCTCTTGGCTTCTTCCTTCCCTCCGTCTCTCTCTCCCCCTCCCCAGTTCTCCTTAAGGAGCCTCCGGTGCGCTCCACGAGGCTCATTGAAGTCACTTAAAACCCCGCTTTCCCAACTAGCCCAGAAGCTTTGGTGATTATGTGTAATCTGTCTTCCGAGATGGGCACGGATGGAGCGGGGACCCGCGGGGTGTGGACATGCATCTGCCGCCTGGCACGCGGGCGCCTGGGGTGTCTTTGGCACTTCCTGCCCCCCATGCACACGTTGTTGAATATTGTGCACGAGAGGTGTGGACACTCTCGGTGTGTGCGGTGTACGTGCATAGGCGCGCCCCGATGCGCGGAGGCTCCCCGCGCTGGGCCACGTCTGGGGTTGCAGGGTCTTGGGTGAGTCTCTGAGCATTCCTGGCGCGGAAAGGCACTCAGCTAAGGAAACGTGTCCATTAAGGCTGAGGACTCACAGCTGGTGCCCCTGGGCTGCTGCTCAGGTCTGAGTGGAGACACGTAACCCCAACCCTACCGCTACCCCCACCCCCTGGGCCCGCTTGACCCAGCCCGCTGCAGGCCCGGGGTGCGCGCCTCCGCACCCACAGCCTCTCCGAGGTGTCTCCCTCCCAGCTGGCCACGGAGAAACTTAGAACCTGTGAGCTCTGGGGAGACAGACTGCTCGCTCCAACCAAACCCGAAAGTCCCCGGGGAAACCGGCCGGTTTATAACTCTGACATTTTAATTTAAGGCATCTGAGCTTTCAAATAAATGTCCGGGGCCTTGGGCACCCTTGGGAGAGCAGCGGAGGGGAGTTGGCGGTGGGCAGGGAGGAGGAGAGGGAGGGGGGCGATCACCTAGCTCCCTCCTTGCCCTGGAGTTGGCATTGGCAGCGGCAGTTGCCAGCCTTCTGAGCCCAGGAAGCGGAGTGGAAGGGAGGCGGAGAGGAAAGAGCCCACGCTGCAGCCCTCCGCGGTTTCTCTCCTGTCACCTGGGCTCCCGGCCTCCTGGTCAACCAAAGCGCCAACCTGGTCTTTTTGACTTAAGTTCTCTGATGGTCGCTGGCTCTGAAGAGGCAGCTCAGCTTTTCCCTGTAGTGGGGGTGAGGTTGGGGGTGGGAATGGAGGAAGCTTGTGCAGCATTGGAGATAACGCAGGCATCCCATCCTCTCAGTTACAGATCTTCAAACATTAGGGAGCAGAGAAGGTGCAGTGATAGCCTAACCGGCTGCTCAGACACTCTGGGGGGTCCAGAGAGACAGCAATCACTGTGATCTGAGAGGGCGCTGGGGGCCAGGGCATGGGAAGTCCAGGGCAGTGCTGAGCTGAGGCTGTAGAGGTCCGGGTATCCGGGTAAGTGACGAGCAAGGCTTTGTGAATTAGCCATAGCTACTCCTGGAGTAAATTTTCCTGCTGCAGCCTTAAGTGGCCAAGCTTATAAATCCTCTCCTCCTTGCCAGATGCCTCCCGCCCCGAGAGGTTCTGCCCTGGTTTTCCTGTGCATACTTCCGGAGCTCATCTGTCCATTTCACAAAGGAATCTCCATGGAGACGCCTATGAACTTATAGGTTTCTTGAAACGGTTTAAGAAGTTCTCAGGGTGGCAGCCAAAGCGGGCTTAGGGGGGCTGTTTGAAAGTTTAAGTGGGCAACCTGATGACCAGTTGTGGAATCAACTGCATGATTCCCTGCTGAATTCGCCTGTTGTTATTGGGGGCACAGCTTCCTGGGTTGAGGGCTGGGAGAGGGACCAGGACAGTGAGAGAACTATTTGGAGAAAGGACAAGTTAAAGTCCCCAAGAATGTCAAACAGGAGATCTGACATCCCTGCCCAGAGCTTACTACAGCCAAATTAAAAAACACTGCATAGGAAAAGGGATCGATAAAGATAAACTGGAGATTGTAAATGGATTACTATTGAAAGAAGAAAGAAGAGATGAAAATAAAAGATGCCCAGGATGAACAACATTTGCCACTCGTGCTGTTCTTCTTCTTATAGACCAGAAGAGCCAGAGATTGAGAACTGAACCTGCTCTTCAGATCTTAAGTGGAAAAGTAAAATGTTTTCTGTTGGATGTGTGTATTTCAGTACTGGTCTCCTCCGTTTAGTTTATTTCGCTTTTTTTTTTTCAGTTCCTGGTGCATAAACTATTAGTGTTTGAATCTTGTGATCTTCGAAAGACATGATTTCACCTCTTTTATCTTTATCACCATCCATGTTCCCTGATACCAGCTCCTCCTGCCTTGTCTGTTAGGTATCAGACACTTAGAAAGTGCCAAACTCTACTGGCAGCTATTATCAGCTGCTATCACCACCACTCTGCTCCATCCCCCAGGCCTGCTTACTGTCAAAGCACCATGACAATGCCTTCCCAGAATCGGACTTTTATCATGGTCTTGCGGTCAGTTCTCCTTTTCCTCCTAATTTCTTGTCCTTTCTCCTCTTGGTGGACTACATGCTAGCGAAACACAAGATGCTGCTGTTCCCTGGAAGTATGATTTCCATGTGCTGGGGATTTATGGATCAGAATGAACTATTTTATGAATGACAGTACATATGCAGTTATGATGAGAAAGTTAATTTAAGCATTTTACAATGTGGATGAGGTTTTTATTCTGTCGTTAGAGAAGTACTGGCAAATTAAAAGTTTTAGGAAATGTGTCTCTTCAGAGAGAGCCAAGAAAACAACAGATGTTTAAGATGAAAAAGCACAGTGAGTGTTATTTGTGAGTGTACTGTGTTTTGTAACTGTGCTTTAAAGAAAGACAAGCAGTCATTTTAAACAGGTCCTTGGGACCTTCTCTAGGCTTTAGGCAACAACTTTCTCCTCTCAGGCTATGCCCTAATTGTTTCATTCAGGAATGCTGGGAACTCCTAGCTCTAGGGAATTTGTGGTGTTTCTGACTTTCAAGAATGAAAGATTTTAGTAGGAAAAGTGTGTGTGTGTGTGTGTGTGTGTGTGTGTGTGTGTTTGAATGGTGTGCCTCAGAATGAGTGTCCTGTTTCATAAATGCATTTTATTTCTGGACTCTACAGCATTGAAATTCTGCTTATCTAGCACCAACTAGTGTTTCGAGTGTTAACACCACCAAACTCAGGACAGAAAATTACTGAAGATTCTAATCATATTAGGATAATGCCCTACTGTCACAAACTGATTTATAATGTTTTCGATAAACAAGTAATATACTTCCCATGACAGAGTAAAACTTGCTTTTGTGCATATACGTATACATATTGGTATGGTACAAGTGACATAAACACAATCTTGAATTTTATTACAATTATACCTTATATTTTCCATTTTAGGAGCAGAGTAAATTCATTAATTCACATTTGGGAATTTGCAGTAAAGGAAATTAGGGTAGCTTACCTTTGTGTAGACAAATAAGGTCACGCATTCTCACTTAGGGAATGCTTAAAAGGTTTCAGAGTACAAACTTCTCAAGTACTTGCAAAGAGTAGGAATCATTAGATCGGTCACATTTATTGACTCCTTGGTCTTTTGTGTTCTGGATATTGGGGATTCCTAGTTCAACAGGAGAGGGTCCTCTAACATATCCCTGTGCAGTCCTGATCAGAATCCATACTGATCTTTTTAAAGCAACCCCTAGGGACATGCACATGAATGAGGCATGACCTCTACTAGGCAAACGTCTTGGCTTATTTATAATTATTGTTGACACTTAAAAAAATAACTGTTCTTCAATGTGTGCTAAGTTCCCAATTAGTGTGGACAGAACAGCTAGAGTGTGGTCTGTTCATCCTTAACTGTGTCTAGCACTTTTCTGATTTAGGTCATGGCTTTGCTGGAGCAGCAGAGGGAGTCCCTGGCAGAAGAAACATGAATGTTACAGGCTGCAGCCACTTTCTAGAGATAAAGGGGGAAGTGTGGGGCAGGGACTAAGCCAGCAGCACTATTGCCTTCTGATTCTAGATTTCAGCCTACATCTTTTTCAGCCTGACTTTGTATTTGAGGCAGTTAAAAACGAACCTGGTCACGTTTCTTCACAAATAAAAAAAACTTACCAGCTCATTTGGGTAGTGGTGGTTTTCAAAGTCAAGTTCTTAACAAACAAATATTGCGCACTCATCATGTCCCAGATTGTGTGCCGTTTTTTAGGGATGCAGAGTAGAACGGGATAGTTTTTCATCCTTTCAGAAAGACAGGTATATAAGCATATAGTGGAAATTCACATTCTGAAATATAACCGTGGGCACAGGTGTAATACCTTCTGGATTCAAGCATCCAATGAGAGTGAACTTAGGTCAGGCTAGGGAATGGTGGTGGGGATTCTAAAATTTCTACACAGAGGAACTTGAGGGTGGCAGTTTGGTGGAAAGTTTGCATTGCACTATCTTAAATCAAATCTTCCTTAGATTAAATATATGTTTAGTTTTGTTTGGGGGAGGCACAAGCTAAAGAGAGTTAGTGGCACACCATTCTGCCTTTTATCTTAGCAATTACTACCTTCTCAAGATCTTAGCCCCACTCTGCCTCAGTGTTTGACAGTGAATGAGCTACTTAGTGTCCCTGTGCCTCAGTGTCCTCTGATAGAAAATGAGGATCATTACAAGTCATATTCGGATCGAATGAATTAATATATGCAAAGTATTTACAGCAATATTCTTTGTCTTCCAACCATGTAAACCATTAGCAAAGAAATCTAGAAGTTGAAGAAATTGAAGGTCAATGATTTTGAACTCAGAGTGGGATGGCTGTAGATGCTGTGTCCCCAAAAGCAGCACTTCGAGCCCTCTGAGGAGATGCTCCCAAGTGTATCCCTGCGAACTCCTGGCCAGTGCATGGTTCCTTGAACATCATGTGGAAGCTCTCTCCTTCCATAGTCCCATTTCTTCCTTTCTGTTTTCTCTCAAAAAATTAACCCAATGCCAGTTCTAAAAACACCAGGTCAAGCCCTAGCAGGTTTGGCTCAGTAGATAGAGTGTCGGTCTGCCAACTGAAGGGTCCCAGGTTCAATTCTGG